TGTTACAAACCATTTGTTACAGAATTTGTTATATAAATAGTCACAGAAATATCACAATTATTACAATTAAATATGTTATATGAATTTATTTTGCGGCAATTTGCAAACAATAATCTATATTTAGATAATTATTAAATATACTCAATTTTATCATATTTAATTTATAGAATTAGTAATGCTATTAGAAATAAAATAGTCAGATATTTTATTTAGACTCAATTTTGTGCACTACCTAGCAGATTATGTAATATAAAAATTATTTAATCGATAATATACTGTATTTTAAGTTCAATGTTAAGCATTTCAATCACAAGCAGATAGCGAATGGATAATATAATCTAAAACACCGATTAAATACAGTTGTCTTTTAGTTCACAATTAGTTCATAGCAACGAGTTATTTATAGAATATATACATTGTATTATAATTTTATTAAAGTGCAACATGATTTATATCAAATATTGATAGAAAGTGCCAGTTTTACACTATCTTTAATTAATTAATTAAATTTATAATTAAAAATTCTTGCTAAGAAAATAATTTAACAAATATCAATTTATAAAATTAAAACTCATAATGACTTTACATATTCTTTATAAATATAATAAATTTAATTAAAAATAAATGGAATCATTAAAAATTTATATTTCAAATATAATTTTATTAATTGGAAAATAAAATTAACACAATGTTATCCAATTACTATTTCAACGCAAGTAAGGGATGTTGTATTGCATCGGAGACCGGGAGCGCATTGGGCTTTGGGTGGAACCCCTTTCAACAGAGTTATGCCACAACTTTGACCCTCAGCTTTAATTACAAAATTATATATTAAAAATTGGCAATAATGATAATGTTATCATATGAATAATAATTACCAATTTTATTGAGACAAGCGGGACAACAGCCACAAAAAGTACCATGCTCATTGAAAATGCCGTTTTTGTCTTTACACGCATCCCTTGACATACTGTTAGCGCACGAAATCTTTTGACAATAGTTTGGCGGACAGACTATGGCATCGATTGAGCCGATTATTGCCACCAATACTACAATTATATACATTATATGCATTTTAATGTGTTTTAAATTTTATTTAAAATAATAAGCCAAGTTTTAATTCAATGTAAATAATGTTTTTTTCTGATTTCATGCAATATTTATACAAAATTTAAATGAATTTGAGTGAATAAATATTGTAAAACAATATGTAAAACAATACAATAACAAGTAAATTTATCATATTATATTATATTGCTATAACATGTGTTTAATTAAATATCTGTTCAGTTGCAATAAAATCCTGTACATTATATAAAATGCATTTATAAATTATTTTGTGCTGAACATGGTTTATTGAAGAATGAGTGATGTCACTTTGTTTTTTGTTTTAGCAATAAGTTGTTATACATTTAATAGCAATGAGAATATTAAATATTTGTTTAAATGTAGATATATTTTTGAATTAGTTATTTAAAAATATTATAATTAATATTTTGCGCTAAATTTAATTCACACACATGTTTTATCAATTAATAAAACAATATTACACAATGTGTTATATAAATTAGATAGATTAGTTAAAGTACATTTACAGTTAATGTCATACTTATAAGTTAATAATTTTTCCAAATATTTAACAAATAAATAATTTGGTGCTATTTATTAAAAACACCATTAATTATGTCCTAATTTAAGCGACGAGTGCACCAAAATATAGTTGGAATTTAAATGCATTTAATAAATACAATATCAGTTATAATGTCTCTCATCCGGGAAGTGAGAAACTTTTTTATAGCATAAATGCCATTATATTTATGATTATTTGTTTTGATTGTCCAAATACTCAACAGAGCATTACACCCCTCACACCACCACTTGTTGTGTATATATTCACAATTGGATTAACACATCACTTGACTTTACGCTATGTATTAAATGCTTTTTAGATTTTACGGCATTATTTGTTTGTTATTTAATGGGTTTTACATTGATTTTCGAACAGATTGTTATATGTTTTGTGATTTAAAAACTTTAAAAAACTTAATTTAATTGCCAAAAAAGAAAATGTCCACAGAATCCAAAAATATGTGTCGATTCTGTTTCCTAACCACCTGTCCATTGATACAGCCGTGCCTTTGCAGCGGCACATCAGCCTATGTCCACTTTAAATGCCTCTCCAAATGGATTACTATCAGTAATACTGACGAGTGTTCCGTATGTTTGAATAAATTTGAGGGTAAATTATATTATTGTTAAATTTAAAACTTAATTAATGCATACTTTTATTAATGAATTTTAAGGCATAACTATCCAAAGGGTTGGCAAAAGTTTTTTCTCGTGGATTAGGCGTACAAATGAGGCCTCATTTATAATCTGTTTCATCTATGGTTTCTTCTTCATTATGTATATCCTATATCTGGCAATATTTGATTACATCATATCCGACGGTCTGATTGGCGATCACTACCGGTTGGCACTCATAATACCAGCCATTATATTTGGCCTGACGTTCGGCTGTATTATAATAGTGGCCTGTTTTCACACTTACCACTCGTTTCGCAATTGGCAAACACTGAACTACGAGCTCAAAGTCTCGCTCAACGAAACCCTCATTATTTAGTCATCAATTTTAGTCATTATTTCTGTTAAATCCATTAATTAATTGTCTAATTTTACTAACTTGTTATTTTTAACTTAATTATTATAATAATAATCAATAATATTAAAATAGTTATTATAATAGTAATATTAAATCATAGTCATTACTTATAAAAGAATCGAGATTTTTATTAATTAATCACTAATAGACTAAAATTATTAAAATAGTTAATTAATAAAATGCTTTAGCAATTGAAACACCTATTTATGGGACAACTGAACGATACCCTCGATGTCGGCGCCCAACGGAAGGTTCGCGACACCAACTCATAAATTTAATGATTACTATAAAAATATTTTATTTTATTTGACAAACTTTGCATATACGGCATAGAGTAGTAACGTTAACATTCAATTAGCAGTTAACCATAAGTACACATTGACGGCGGGTCTAGTGGTTAGAGGAATCGTATTCGGGTCGAAGGGCCTGAGTTCTAGACTTCGAAGCCATTGGCGATGCTTTTTGCTTTTCACCATGCTTATTACATTTACATAGTTTATGTTTTAGTTTTAAAATGCAATTTAAAATTATATTTAATTACAATCTATTTTATATAGCGTAAAAATTTAAAATAATGTATACTGTAGTAAATTAATAATCATTTCATATTCATTCAAACAAAATTATTAGTTTAATTTCATAACTATATTTAAAATTAATACTTGTCAACTAACATGGTCATTCAGTTTTTATAATTAACGTTTAACATAAATTATCAAATAATTTCTAAGTTTAGATAATGTCTCAAAAACTTAATGTTTGTTTGCACATTATATTTTCATTTTAGCAATATTTTCCACAAGTTTTACGTAATTTTGGCAATTGTTTTCGGATTGAATTCTTTGCGAAACTCGCTCTAACTTTAGTGCCAATACATTATCGTTAAGCAACTGATCGATTGAATCCAATAGTTCTCTCTCTGAACACTCGTACGGATCAAGTCTTATACCAAACCCTTTCTCATGAACTCTCTGTGCGTTATCCAACTGATCAAACATTAGCGGCAATAATACCATTGGTTTCCCGAAATACATGGTTTCGGTCACAGTATTGTTCCCGCCGTGGGTTATGACCAGATCACAGATCGGCAACACTTTGATCTGAGGCAGAGTCCTATCGCCCCACATGTTGTCCGCCAAATCGTATTCGTTATGTTTTACACCTTTTG